GATGTGAGACTTAAAACTGTATCTTATTGTTGAAGCCTTAGCTACTGTTAATCTCGTCAGTGGATTAGCAACTTCTTTGTATTGCAATACGAAATTGTAATGTTATTGGTGGATTGGTATTATTAATGTGCAAAAACAACGTTATTGAAAATAGTAATTGCTACAATTTTTCACTGTATGATGTTGATGAAAAAAAAAAAAACGAAACCTTACTTATTTCCAATTATTGTATTACAATGGCGCATTATGATTAATTGCGCACACCTAAAGAAAATCGTAAAAATCATATTGAGTCTATTTCAATTGCGTGTACAGCCTAAAAAGTAATTACAGATAAAAATACATTATCTTCTCAAAATAAAATAATTGCAAAAACTCGTCAATGTTTGCAGCAATCACGCAGATTAACATTATACGGATATATAAGTTGAATTTCCCATTGGTGCCTGATTGTTTAATTAGGCAGCACATTGGTTACAAACAGAGGGCCACCGGTGCTTCTGTTCCTGCACGTGGGCGTGTGTGCGTGAGATTGGGGAAAGGGTCGCATGTGTAAATGTATATGCCGAAGAGACTTGTTGCGGTTTGCTGTTAGCCGCCTTGACGACGTTGTTCTTCTTCTACCACATGGCGAACTTACAATTTCCAGCCGGATTTCGGCGATCTCTACCCTTGAAATTGCAAACGCCCCATTTTATTTAATTAGAAAAGGGTAATATTATTGAAAAGAGTACAAAAAATTCCTGAAATTCCATGACAAATTTGAAATTTATTATATTCACCTTCAAGTGGAGTCGTAGCGCTTATACGTACATGTATGCGTACATACTGCTTAAAGAACTGACTTGTAAAATACTTAAGTTAAGCAGATGTTTTTCAGCAAAGCATTATAATTAATATAAGTGACACTTGCGCACAGTCAAAGTTTGTAGACGAAATACATTGTCTTATCAAACATAGTTAACATCTAGTTGGGAGTAGATTTGTCTTAGTTTTACATAAAGTAGACTACTGTTCTTGTGCTTGTCTTGTTCAAAAAGACATCACAGACTTACGCCTTGAATGACTAAGTGGTTTTCAAGAACTTTAACATTAAGTTTCAACTAAAACATCTTTTCGATATGATAATTGCTTTCACAGTCAAGGCAAAACTAATTACAAAATCCATAAAGGATAAATGTACGTCTAGTTCGCTCTTCGTCCAAAACGGCTTTATCCATTTTGCAAACATCCAACTAATTTCTTGCTACAATTAATTTGAGACTCCATTTCTACGTCATGCCGATTAACCCTAAAATTCTCTACTACCTGCTTCTAGGGTAGTCTTCCATCTCTCGAACTACGCATCCTTTTTTGCAAAAGAGAATAAGGACGAGCGTCATTGCCCCAGTAATTGGTAGAAAAAATACAAAGTAGAGACGTAGCATCTATAATAAATATTTTAGCGCCATGCAACTAGGGCTCACGGCAACAGTTGCTAGTATGCCATTGAAAAGCAGATGAAGCTTTCGACTTTATAGCTGAAATCTCCCTAAATTGCTCTTTTATTGGCGAACGCGGTACAGTTAATCGTAGTGCATTTAAAATAACGTAGCCGTCGTTACCAAGGCTTCTGGACGTTAAAGTTAGCGATAGAAATTGAGAGAGAGTGAGAGGTATACATTCAACATTTTCGAGGGCGAATGCAACGGTCGTGGTGCAACTGTATGCCGCATCTCGTAAAATTCAACGATCTCGACAATTACATGAGAGGGTCATAAAAGAACAAAAGTTAGGACTTTGGTCGTATGTAAAAGAGCAACACATCTCTGTCTCCCCCTCTGTCTGTCTGTCTGTCTGTCTGTCTGTCTCTCGCTCTCTTCTCCTCCCACCCTCTTATGATGAAAACAAATCCACCGAATGCGCAACCGCGAGTCCCCTGAGCTTTCAAACAATCGATCAAGAGAGAAACCTTGCTACAAGATTGTGTTAGAACGAAAAGGGGATATGAAAACGGGTTGAAGCGAGTGATTTGAAACAGGAGAAACGAGGAAAACCCTAAGAGAAGCTTAAACTGCGCGGAAACAGCAGCATGGAAAGAGCCGACGAACTATGCATACCTTCGTTGTACAGACTATGGAATTTTGAAAGCACATAAACCTATTGTCAAGAAGCCATTAAATTAGGCAAGACAAGGATTTTCGAGAGTTGATGGAACAAAATCGAGTTATTAAAAAAACTCTACAAAACTTTAATAGCGTAATAAATCTGATATTTGTGCAACTAATGAATATGTGTAATAGAAATAAAATATTTATATGTATCAACAAAATAAATGTCTAATCATGTAATTTAAATTGACTGCATACTATTGTTTTACCAAACATTTCCAACCGATCATTAGCCACTTTAAGTAGAAGATTATTTATAATTAAAGGACTTAGTCACAAAATACTTGTGACTTGTAAAAATAAATATTTGTATATCAATTCAAAATTTAAACATTGCTTTTCTAGCATTAAACTGTCGAATTCGAGAGTATTATAAAATATTCAACATTTTCAAATTTTGTAAATTTCAAACTATATATCTATTCTATTCTATTTACATAGGCCCTTATACAATCTATTTACAACAATAAAAAATGATTGGAACTTGATTCGATTTGAATAGCTTGAAAATAAAATAATCTCAAGGTCAATAAAAAGATGGCGAAATATCGTTAGCTCGAGCCAATAGACATAATTACCAAAATATACTAAGATAAAAACTGATTGGCGAATTAATAAGAAAGAAAAGTAGCTCCATACATCCTCTATAAACATTAAATAATCAAGCAATTAAACGAGTCTCTTTTACACGCAGCTCCATCAATAACAAAACAAAACTCTCCGTTCATCTCTATGTAAAAGTAACATTAAGCGCAATATAAATGCAAAACGACAGCTGCACTCGTAGGCCGGAGATAAGATAATCGCCGCCTCACGAAATTAATAAGCGAAGATCAAGTTGTGCTCCCGAGAAGAGCGGAAACTTGATAGAGCTAGAAGACAACGACAAAGAGGCCGAGGGTGGGAGTAAGATAAACGCAAGACGACGCAGCGTGGGCGAGCGGGAAAACGATCGCAGACGATAGTATTGTACTATGTGCCGCTGGCTCGCGACCGCGTGCGCACGCTCTCATAGTTGTAGGCACAGATACGCACGTACACACTTACGCACGCGCGTACACAAGATTGTGTATGGAGGCAAGTAGACGCGACAGTGACACGCGTAAATTCAAAAGGCGCCCGACACTACACGAGCGCACACGATTTCGTCGAGCGGAGAAATCGCAAGCGAACGCAAGTTTTGCATCGCTAATGAAGACACACGCGCGTGCGTACGTACGTATATGTATTGTAATGAAATTCTGCAATGAAAAGCCGTGGCACCAGCAGCCGATATATGCATTCTATGCAAATCACGAGCGACTTCGCTTCCTTGCGCGCTTGTTTAAAACTTTGTAAACAAATGATAGAAGTGAAGTGTGTAATGCACGACCCTCGGTCTCTAGTAGGTGTAGAACAAGCCATGGAAGATTCCAAATGAGATGAATGGGGTGCAGGGCAGAAAAGTTAGGTAAATAATTGGATGTACCGAGATCCTTGTTCTTGTTGCGGATTAACGATTTGGAATAATTTGGCTCCAATGGTTTTTATATCGAATTCTTTCTTTAATCTTGAAACTTTTAAGAATTATATGAATTAAAGGCTTCCTTCTTTTAATTTAAATGCAAAACTACTTACTTGCGTACTTACGTACATCAACTGATAATATATTTATATAATAATGAAAATATTATTAAAATTATATTGAAGTAAGTTATAGACAAAGGTAACATAACTAGGCAATACTAAAAATGCTCTTTAGAAAATAAAACGATTATGAATATGAAGTATAAATAATTTAGGAGTGTGAGAGTCAAGACATTTCGAAAGTTTACAAATACTCATATAAACTGTAAAATAAGAATCTAGACAATTGAATAGAACTTATCGGTAAAATTATACAATTAGATAGTTTGCACTAGGGACTCGTATTTCTACTGCTTGGTTTCGCAATCACTTAATAAAGTTTAATTACACTTAAAAAATTGTTTTTATCTTACTTCATAAATTGAATATTATTTCAAAATAATAAGATAGAAAGTATTCAATATATTGAAAATTACATATTTAATTGGAACTAAAGCCCGATCAATTTATCGTCGGCTTATCAAAGATCTATTTTATTTTCTACTAGATATCAAAATCTACATTAATCAACATACTATTTATAGCAATATCATTTATTATTATCAATTACAAAATCTATATGAAATTAACCGTAATATACATTACGAAAAAGTACGATATTGCACAAACTAATAATTCAAAGGAAATGTAAAATAAATTGTTTCGTTACAATAAGAAATTATTTTGCTTTTTATTCTGAAATTGTTTTGGCTTCAAAAAAACTCTTGGTAAAACGAATAATGAGTTCAGTTATTTATTCGAAATACGTCACACTGGCAATGAATATTAATTACTAAGAGTGCTTAGTAGCAATCTTATTAACCATTTATATTCCGCTCGTTATGAAGCAAAAACTTTTTGCTCTTAATTAATCAGCTGCTTGATTAAAGAATCATCACCTATTCCCGTAAATAGAGAAGAAAATTAAATTCAATTCTTTCTTCATCTCTTCTTTCGTATACGATAACAATACATTGTATAGCACGACTTTATTACAGTATGACTCAGCCGATTTCTTTTTTTCTTCTTTCAAAGCGTGCTAATGAATTTTCAAGCACGTCGTAACAATCAAATATGTATTTCAACTGAAAATTCACTGACACGTCACATTGAGTCATTCCAAGCAAATATTGTTTTTTTTTTCAATTTTGTTTTTAATGACTTACTGAATAAACATTTAATGAGATTAATAATTTGCTAATAAATAGAAAAATGAGTATCTCAGAAAAATGTGTTTGTACTCACCATGACGTAGTGGCGCTGCATTTCCGACTTCTCCTGGGCAAGTTTTTCCAGCTCCAACTTAATACTGTACAGAACAAGCAAGGAAAAACGCATGTGTAAGCTACATATTATTATGTGCAGGCGATAATCAAAAGCGTAGTATGCTGAGGAGAAATGTTATTAAATAATCATCTATCATTTGCCTATGCATTGTAATACGTTAGACATCTCAAAATGATAGAGAAAAAAAATTATTATATACTTGAGAAACTGCTGAGAATGCTTTTACAATATTATTCATATGCATGTGATATTGCAATAATTCTAACCTAGCTTCTAAATCATAAGTGCAGCTAAATAAAAATAATAATTCCTGAATTGTTTTAACTTTAATTTTATTTTGTAATATTTTAAACGTTGCATTGATCACATTCCATCATAAAACAGTTAATAGAAAAAATTAAATACGCGTGACGAATGGAATTACTATATTATGTGCAAAACACAAAGTGAAGCACAAGATTTTATATAATAACATTTTTCCATCTCTGCCTGTATTGAGAGATATTAGGAAGGATCAAGAGGTGGTGGAGAGGATAGAGGTACCGGGATTAAATCATAATCGAACGTCTGTTCCTGCCATACTCGCCAATCACATTAATAGATACCATGGAGAGCCATTGTTTGTTAATCGCTTGGAAATATGCTGTGAAAAGTGACACACCTTTTTACGAAGCGAATTTACGAATACGCGTACTTTATGCACAGTATAGAAATGACGCGTTTTATATCGTATGTATTTAGCTAAGGCTCGGTAATGAATAGTTACACTCGACGACAGATTGTGATATATTTGATTTTAAAATGGTGCAATGCAGTTTTGCATGTACGTACAAAGGATATTTTGAAAGTATTTAATGAATTTTCTTTTTAAGAGGAATGAGTCATACTATACAATACTCAAATACTTTCATCCGATATAGTGGTGGAGCGCTTTAATCATCTTTACAATTTAAGAAACAACACCGGGGTGTAGTAATTGATATTGATTTAGGCAAAATTTGGTAAAATTATTTATTAATAAATTACTTTTTGTAAATCGGAATATTACTTGGAATATTATGAATAGATACGTGATCAACGGAAAGTTAATTTTATCGAGTTTTGAATTTGCGTGAAAATGATTACCTTTAAGAAGTTTTTCGTTTTTTTTTAAATGTTTTTTTTATTTTTAAATATATAAGAAATAATATATTTAAACCTATACAATGATTGAGTTATTAAAATTGAATTATAAAGTTAAATATTTTTAGAATAAAAATAAATAGTCATTTAATTGCAATTATATTGATAAGGAATTGATAAAAATTTAGTAGCCGACTTCATGAATTTTGAACGAAAGCAGTTTACTTCATCTTATAAATAAAGATTTTAAGATTTAGTGTATTAAAGAAAACTAATTTGTTGTGAATATTAAATATTTGAATTTTCTTCTGATGACTTTAAGAACACATAATGACCCTGAAAAATAATTAAAATGGAAAGTAAACAGAGTACAAGGCGATACCTAATCAATAAGCAACAAATTTTTATCAGGCTGACGACGGAATCCAAGAGCTTCGAGGACGTGGTGATAGGATAGTGCAAAATTACAATCAAGCGGTTAAATAAAACACATAATTAGTGCAGTCGTAGCAAACATTGATCATGATATAATGTTGAGTGAATGCAGATGTTCGACTATTATAAATACGTGTTCTCAAATACTTGATGTGATTAAATAAATTATTAAAAAATTGAAAAATATAAATTGCAATGAATAATTTGGCACACACAAGTCATTATATCTAAATTAAATAAAGATATCAATATCATTCATTTTTAATGATTTATATATTCTACTTGCAACAGCTTTTAATGCAACTACAAGGTATATAACAAAAAGTGAAACATTCAATTGTACTTTTGAACAAATACTTTTATTAATTATATGAAAAATAAAACATTAAAAAAAAACGTGCTAGCTATTTTCAAGCATTAATTTATAAAATTTTATAAGAAGAAAAGATTCATTCAAAAATATCATTATTTTAAAAAATAACAAAATTAGCTTAATCGATAAGAGAAAATGCATAATTTCACTTCAACGTTATCAGTGCAATTGAAAAGACAGAAATTAATTTGAAAACTGTGTTGTGAAAAATCCGTGCCTGACTGTAATTTAAATGCTTCGAGCGGCTTACCATAACGCAATTCCTCTGAATCTCAATTTTTTCACTGACTAATTTCTCGAACTCCAATTTAAAGCTGCTCGAAAATAATGAGAATGTCAATTAATTCCACCAGTCCTCGAATGCCCACGAAGGCTTCGCCTCGTAGCGTCAATCAAATTATTTATTCACTTGTTTTCATCAGAATCTCATAAAATCAAGTGGGGGGAGGGGGAGGGGGAGGGGCATAAGTACATAATTTTTAAGCAATGCTCGCTCTTATCGGCTTTTTTCGTACAAATTTAATTCGTTTAAATGCCATAAAATTTCACAATTTTTTCCCTACTCAATGCAATTACACCGCTCAATGAATGACTCGATGTTTTATTTATTACCTACGCTTTTTATTTTTCAACCTTTCTACAATTAAATTGAAAGTTCAAGTTGCGCGATTGATTGGAATAATAAAGAATAAAGTAATTTGAAACGAGTACAATGTCTCGAGGCACGAGTAACTCGTTCGTTCAATCTTCAGGCGAATGCATTTATTAGCACTAATTACGCGGCTTAAAGTTGACCGACGAATCCGCGCCAAGAAAAACGATCGCAAATCAAAAGAATCGACTTGCCGCTACAAGCCAGACATATAAACTTTTGATTTACTAAGTGCCGGGGTAAGTATTTATTTCGCGCTCTAGTCTGGCCGATAAAGTTGAAGGATTACAATCCCTTTTCGTCACTGCAAATACTCGAGTCATCGCGACCCTCCGAACGTAATATACGGACGCGTGCTAAGCACAAAAACAAAAAATTAGTCGGCGTTAAAATCCCGAGGAGGTTGCACACGACCTCGCTATAACAGAGCAGCCAAAAGAAAAACTCGCCCGGAGTAAGGGACAAAAAGAGCGACGTCCCGCGCGTGTCCAGGAGTCAAAATGCAAATTTAACGAGTAAAAGCCGATGCGGGTATAAAAAACCAAAGTGACGCCGGCATTGTATGTACTCCTCTCCCCCAGACCGCCGGTTCATGTAAATAAGTTATACGAGCACAGGGAGAGGGGCTTGGTAGGGGTACACCGGTACGGGGAGGGAGAGGTGGGAGGGGTAAGTCTCCAGTGACTCGCTCTCGCGATCCATTAAAACTTGACTGGGCGCCTCCATGTACACATACAAACTCGAAACACGTACTTACTTGGCGCGCGCGAGTCACGACGGCTCCCCCGAGGCCGGCGACACGAAACCGTAATTTAAGTTTCTGCCCTCGCCACCGTGTGTTTGTTCGCCCCGGCACGTGACTTAGCGAATTAACACGTTTAAGAGGCGCTCGCGCCCAAGGGAGTAGCCGATAGCGGCGATTTGCCATGGCCGCGGGAATTTTTCTCCGAGAAATCGCCTGGGCGAGGCCGGCAGGAGAATTAGCGGGACAAAGTCCTGCCAATCTTTGTGTTAAGCGGAAATCGCGGCGACGGCGTAGAGGGGAAGAGAGCCCGGATCGTTTTATTTCGAACGCGAGATATTTGCCTGCTGTTGGTAAATAGGCCGTAGTCAAATATCTTGGAGGCGGCTTTCTCGCGAGCCTCACTTCGGCCATCGAATTCTCATTCACCGATCTTTTCCGAACTGTAGCATCCGAATCCCCAGGCAAATATTTACACGTGAAATCGCGCACTTTCTTCATCTCATGAAAGATAATGATAAGCCAATATCCCAATAACCTTTCGAGATATTACTGTATAACTAAGCGCTCAAATATTTGGCCGTCGTAATTGAAAAACTTAATTAAAGCAAACATTATCAAAATATGTTTATGCAATTATAGCTGACGATAAATCAACAATCTCGAATTTTTTAAAGCTTGCGTCCATGGAAGGCCTCGAGGCTAATTAATGCCTCGCATACTCGCATCGACAAGCCGCTCCCACAGACGGAATAAAAAAAGAAACGCAAGAGGTGGATAAAAAACAACGTTAAAAAAACAACGACAGACGACTGCAAATTATTTCCAACTGCGCTTACAACACGTTTATTAACTGTTCCACCTTCTCCACTCATTCCTTAAATAATATCCTTGCGCTCTCCTTGTGTCGCCATATAAATTAACACTTACCACGGCGACAAACGCGATGTAAATCACCCGCGGCGGCGCTGCTCTTAATGAACCACCTGCCGAAACGCGAATGACCGTATTAAGCAAACCAGTGGATGGAATAAATTGCGCCGCGGTTCTCTGTACTTTATCTCGGTTCTTCACCCCCCCCCCAACCACCACCCGTCGCCCTTCCCTTGCTCATTGTCCCGCGCTCTCATTCTCTCTTTCTCTCCTGGCTACTTTCCTCGAGGTTTACGTATTTACCAGGCCGAATTAATAATCCGGCTCATATGGTTTCTTAAATCTTTATGTGTTGTTTATGCACGCCGCGATATTTTGCTCAGCGTACACTTTATGATTTTTAGCCGGGAACTTAATGAAAATCTTTTTATTGCATACTTAAAGCTAACGTAGCTTGTAGAATGCTCACGTATACACGTATAAACTCGAGTGTAAGCCAATATTGTTTGTTGTTGGCAAACAGCGGCAAAGAATGTTTTAAAGAGCAATTTGCTCTGCGAATTATCTTGACCTAATAGGGCAGTGCCCAATCTTACGCTAAAAATGAAGCGACATTAGAATTTTAGAGCTCGATTGCACACCTAGAGGACCAAACAAAGACACGAGTAATGTTTAATGAGACACGTCGAAATGGCTTTCGATATGATGGCAATACTCTAAATGAGGCATGCACTTCGATTAAATTTATATAAAAGGAATGCGTACGTGCATTTCCAATAATGCCGATGTTTTCCTTCAATAATACATCGAAAATAAAAGCTCGAGTACACGGATAAATATCGTGATCGGGATAAACCGTTACTTCTCTGGTTCACAAAAAAAAAAAAAAAAAAAAACATCAGCCCAAGTCCAAAAAGGACACGTATATCGTAAAGTCAAAAATACCACCGACAATCGATACAAATGGCGAGGGGATGAGAGCCGAAAATTACTCGATTGCAACGGGAGATGAATTTCGCGGTAACGTGTACAACAACTTGTTAACTGCCTGCCAAGGCAATTCACTATTCCCTATGCAATCGATATCCGGTTTTTCACGTATTTCCAGGCCCTTTCTCAATGAAACTATGCCTAGGTACAATGACAAATGAATAAATAAAATGAAAAACGAACGCTCGAATGTAACCGAGAACAAAATTATATATACCAGCTAATAAACTGTGATAAAAATAATGTTGATTTGCTAAAAGTCTTCGGTACTTTCATACATTATTAACGTGTGGCAATGATTTATTGATCAATCGTATATTAGGAAAATATCTGTTTTATGAAATAATTACTATAAATAATAAAGTGAAATTTTTAAAAACTACTCGCTCTTATAAAAAATAAAAATTACAATTTTGCAAATTTATGTAAATCTTTTTTACGATAAACTCAACAGAAAATACTACCTCTTTTTTTAATTTACCCAAACACACTTTATTACAGAAGCAGTGAAAAATAAATCGCGAGAACGGCCCGTCTAAGCACGTAAACTTTTCATTTTACATACCCGCGCGTCTTTTTCTATATCTAAAACTTTGCATCGCGAGACAATACAGAAAATCTTAACTCATGCTGTCTCGGATAATAATTAGTGACAGTGAGAAACGTCAGTCCAAGCGGTAGATATTTGCAATAATGAAGAAAAACTAAGGCTCTGTTTACCAAACAACGAATAGATTATTAAATCTGGTCACCAGTCAGCCATGTACGCTTTTCCGAGCCCAATCGAAATGAATTTTTTTCCCGACGGAGAGAGAGAGAATAAGAACGCATTGCCCTCATCCGCTACCGCGTTGCACATACGTTTGCATAGCTTCCGGTCGAGCAAATAATAAATTAATATTTGCTCTCACGTTCAGCCGGTTTTACTCGTTCAGACGCGCGCATGTATTTGCACGAGACAGGTGTTTGTCACTCGGCGATTACAAACAGAAAGTAAGGATATAAGTGGGAAGGGGGAGGAAACACCAGCTGTGGAGATCTTATCTAGCCTGACTGGGAATTCGCGTTTAAAGGACTGGATAACTTAATTAATGGGAGGAGAAGGGAGGGAGAATGGAGTTTTTTCTGGTTCGCTCTACTTTCTTTTTTATTTACGCCCTCGTTGCTTCTTCGCTGCATTGCGACGGCGTGAGCACTTTAAGGCAAGAGATACCTTGCCACTGGAACCTCGTCCTGTTTAATATAATTCATTTGCTTCCTTTGTTTTAACAAGAAGATCTTAAAAGAAATTTGTTGCAAGTAACGACTGATTAATTAGATGTAAATTCCGTACAGTTGTGATCATGTTTTAAAACTTACAAACTGAATAATTTATTCTAATTAAAACAAATACTTTACTCGGTGTTCGATACCTTCTAATACATAGATAGGCCTTATGTGTTATATAGCAGGCCATCCATTGAAAATACGCGTTTTTCTTTTTCAGTTCGTCTCTTTTTTCTTCCTCTTCAATTGAAAATGAAATGTGCTCAATATTCAATTAAACACAAAGAAACTTAACTACGTTTTTCGCGTTGTAAAATATTATAGCATTGCTAATTGACAACTGAATGCTTAGTATGGCCGTAAATGGTGCGATATTGTTTATTCAATTTTAATAAATTATGATAAGGAATTTTTCGTCATACAATAAATTCCAACGATTAAATGTTAAATTTTTACATTAAATAAGTTAATAGAATTGCTTTTAAAATGACGTTGTTATTGAGGAAAATAAGATGGTCAAGTAGTTTCAAAATTTCCTTGCGTTGCGAATAATTAATATTCTGTCTTATGGACAAAATAAACACGTTTTACTTGTAAATAAACATTGTCAATAATATAAATATTCAATGCACGTATGTTTTTCATCATCCGTTAGAATATATTCGTTCGATACAGTGAATAATTATATTTGTATAATTTAACTACGATTTATACTAGTAAATTCATATAAAATGATTTTTCATTTCGCATGAATTACGATAAACGAAATATTAGCAAAATATTCACAATTTAAAAAATACAATTCTACTTTTCAAAATAAAATGAATAAGAATAAGCTGTACTATCCTTCTCTGATATTTCCTTACTTTTTAAGCTTTTTGCTTCATCGAAATAATCTTGTTAGACATTTCGTTCCAGTATATAAAAGCCGATCTCTCGTTTCTGCATGAAAATACATAAAACCCGTTAGACGCTTTACTTTAAATTCAGAAAAAGAAAAACTGCGCTTCTCAAACAAGGGTCGCCCCGGCACAACTTGTTCGCATCGTCGGGATTTTGCAGCGAAGAATCAAACCGAACGTTGAAAAGAAGAGAGTGAGTGAGAGAGGTGGAAGTGGGAAGGAAGGAAAAAAATCAGCGTTGAAAGAGAACTCACCTGTGGTACTGTGCTTGGAGAAAATTGAATTCCTCTTTGATTCGATCACAGGACTCGGGTATTGTGAATTTGAACTGCTGCCCGGGCTGCGGTGGACCCTGAAACACAAACAAAGCGCAATCATTAAACAGCGTCCGAATCTCAAAATCAACAGACCAACAGACACTTGTATATACAAGAGTAACGGCGGGACTCGTTTTCGAAGCAATTCACTTTGGTGTAAAACGAAAAAAGCATTTTTTGATAATTTTGGTACTTTTATTTACAAAAATAACCTTGCGCGCTATTGAGGGAATTTTAGTTTAAACAAGCGTATTATCATTGAACATGATTTTCAGAAAATATTTTTTTTTAATAATATAATCTTTCGGCCTCTACCTGAGACATCGCTATACACATTACTGTGACTTTATATAAATTGTTCAAATCTCCAAAGTAAACATACAATAAAAGAATATTTCTTATTTTCCATTATACGTATTTACGGTTAAGAATGTCATAAATATTGCCAACTTGTTATCAGATAGATCGAAGGTGACATTTAACATATCAATATCAATAATTTAGTTGTAACCTAGAATATTTTATTTCAGATCTTCGATCCAATAGGATAGGACAAATAACAGCATACACATTTCAAGGTATTTATTACTAAATTCACTCAATTGTCCATTTGACGACAGCGAACAATAAAACTACATTTAACAGAGTATAGTATCTGTTGTATCAATTATACCGATGGCCCATTTGAATATTGTAAATAAAAAAAATTTTCAATGCTATCAATGATAACTACGAGTTACGACACGGAAGATTCGTGTAAAAGCCCGCGCGTACATACAAGCACACAACACGTCACAGCACTTTTAATTTGCATAATCCCAATAAATTTATATGTATATACATTCACACCTTATACAGGTTATAGAAGCGAAAAGGAGGAGTTGAACCATGAGTACATTAATATTTATTATTTCGGCTGAACTCGCCAGAGTATGGACATACGTGCGTAGGCACGCAAACGCCGACGGACGGATCTCTTTTTCTTGCGCACGCGACGATGGCAAAATTCGTGAAGACAAAAAACCAAGATGAAATTCCGCTAAAGCGAGTCGCTCATAAATCTCACAAACCGAGTGATCGGTCGTGTTATGTCCTCAACAACTTCCGATCCTTCCATTTTTTTCGGCTTTTACAACACCCCACACTTTCATTATTTTCCATACCTGCCTTGCCCGAAAATCAACGCACGCACGAACTTGTCGCACTATCACAAAATGACAGTTTTTCTGCACGGATGTATTTCTATCTCGTGGAAAGGTATAGTTTATGTTTTTTACTCGCATCGCACCGATACCATTTTTTTTTCAGGGTTTATCGCATAGTGTGCATTACGTAGCCAAATTTTTAATAGGAAATCTTTCCTCCTTCACTTATCGAGCATTTTATAATGGCTGTAATTTTAATGGATAGTGAGCTAACAGAGTGAAAAGTATCTACTGAACTGAGAATATTGAAAATTGAAGTAGAATAAAAGATGGAATGATGCAGACGTAATTCGTGATTATGACAATTATATACCGTATCTGTATACGCAATACCTATTCTTTGGTGTGAAAAATAGCTTCGTATGCGATTTTCTTATCGTTACAATAATACTCTGACAATAACCTAATTATTACATATTGACTTGTTCGATTTTATTCATTATTGCATAATAAATGCTCAAACCATATCTTCAGTCACTCATTCAGCTGATTTCAATGCAACTAACACACGTATGCCAGGAAATATATATATATATATATATATATTGTAGTTGATTTTATAAAGAATTTTAAACGTTAAAACCTATAATAAAATACATTTTATATATTTTAATTTTTAGCAAAAACCACATATTTATCTTCTAACTCCTTCATAAGTACCTTCTGTTTGTAAAAAAATATTATACATACGATATTATAAAATACGTACAAATATTTCCGAGTAGTACATTTTTCACAATATATGTCACTTATAAATACATAGATTGAACATTTTAGTATAATAAAGAACCGTAGAACTATTAATCTGACTTTTTACAATTTTATAACTTAATGCGAGTGCATATAAAATGATTATTCTACTCGTTCCTTTTTCATAATAATAATTCAGTACAATTTCCAGCTGTCTCGATAGATTTATTAATTTCCAATAGTATTTACTAAAAAATTCAAAAGAGCACATTTTTTCTTGATATTAAATCAAAATTAATATGCATATTTGTATATAGAATTTTTTTATAAGTTAAACTATATCTTTTAAAGACTTTTTAAATTCATCTTTTCATCGTTTTTACGAGTATTGAAAATAACAATTTAAATGAAAATATTTTATTGAAATTATACCGTACAATCAATAAGCAAATATTTTATAGATATTATTGCTTTATAATCTATCTAACGTTTTATTACATTGCATTTAATCATTATTAAAATATAGTATTATATTATACATCATAATGTTACTTTGACAGGTGAGCAAATTAAATCCTACTTTATATTACATCTATTGACAATCATACTAACATTTACTCTACGAATGAATACTATTAGCCCCGATGTAGTGAAATCTTGCTAATAATAACATATGAAATAATCCACCATTTATATGTACTGACAATTATATTATATTCATAAATACCCTCTCGTTCTTACCAGCCCTATGTTATTATTCACTTATTACGAATACCATTAAAACTGAAACGAGAATATATAGAAATATAAAATATTAAAAAAAAAAAAAAAATCCAATACTAAATCGTGCTACAAATGATTGAGATTGATTTTCTAAAACGTGAAAACCAAAATAACTGTACTCTGTCGGATGTCAATTATACCAATATCCAATATGCTAAATACACTAATCAATACTGTATATCGATAGAGACTTTTTTTTCTATCACAATCTAAAGGTCTCGCGAAGTCTAGCTTAGTAGAGAATTGACTCATCTACGTAGTATAGCCTAACCGCATAATCGGTAACATCTTCTTAACGATAAGAATCGCGTACATTCTAAAGCGTGTCATTTGGTGCTTATTTGTGAACATGATGATTGCAACTTGCGTGACTTTGACGTAAATAGGGCTGATACGATCCGACTGACTGAGGTGCGCTCGCATATGCCGCAAAATGCACATATTTATAATTAAGATTTTAATTAACTCGAAGCCTCGAATGAGCATACGTGTTTATTGATAATTAACTATTATTTGATGTCTGATGCATAATTTAGGGAAATAAAAATGACCAATATGGATTATATGTGGGTTGATAATACTTAATTTGATTGTTATCTGTAAATAATTGCAGTCGATCTCAATCCTACGTACGCTAATATTTATGTAACTTAATTTGACTTTAAATGCCAATGTATTTGCATTACGACCTGTGCTGATAATGTAATTGAATTCCAGCACAAATACATATAGTAAAAGGCGATTCCTTTTACAATTCAAATAACAACAAGGTTGACTATAAAATAGTACTAGAATCTGAATTATTTAGAATAGCTTTGGATAGACGATTATCTTTCGTGCAACTAAGAATAAAGATTTCTTTACAATTTGTATAGTCCAAGGTGAATAATTCTTGTCGTTCTCTAAATAAAATAATTTCGCAGCCTAAATGTCATTATTAACAGAAACAACGCTCAAGCGTGGCTTTCACTTGACAAGCAGATAATAACGAACAAATATACTTAATATTGGTTATAAAAGTGGTAACTCTGAAATATTTTATTTGAATCCATTGCTGAAAAAAAGAGGCAAGTTTATGCTTAAAAGTATGAAACGTATAGGGAAATACATTATTGGATGGATTCGTGGATGTCGTATTAACGTGACATTTCCATGAATTGCCATGCATTCCCCGCTCCCCCATAATGTAATAGCACTTTTTCTTTATACTTTTAAAGTATTGCGACGTTTATAGAGATAACAACTCGTAGATATTTTATCGACCTCGTCACTTAAGCAAACGTTCGAATTATAACAAAAAGCTATCCGAGTAATAGTTACATATAGTCGTACTCTTTACGGAAACGATTCGTGCGCGATTTAATAAAATACAAATGAGATGTAATAGCTGTTAAATGTACATTTTCCGTCAAATTCGAAATTGCACATGATAAATACATCCTGCTAGCTGCGATGTATCCGCAGTGGCTCAACAGACCATAACTAGCGGAACAAAACGAGCAGAATAGTTTGGAGAAGGGGAAACAGAAAGATCGACAGACAGATGTGAGTGGATTGTTAAAGGCTGGATGCATGATGATAGGCTTTGCCTGGCACTCGGGACCCTCGCTAATATCGTTACACGCTTGCATTATCGATCGCTCTTTGGGCTCACCGCGCCAATCGAGATGTGCATAACGGGACTCGACTTTCAAGCCAAACAGACGAGGCCAAGGACGCGCGAGCATTTGACCATGGACTCGGTGGTGGTTGGACTATCGTTATCGTTTAAACTCATCGTGTCGTGTATTTTGTAGATGAGCAACTATCGAAACTATCGACGACATTCGCGAATGTTTATAATAAAATATTGAAATTCCTCACATCCCAATGTCCCGTAACATTGGACATGTTTATAAAATACTCCCCTTTGAATCGTAATTCTTAATAATTCAATTCTTTCCAAAGGTTTCACACGCTGGTTTTCACGATCGATACAATTTCCAATGTAAATCTACCAACTCGTCGTTAACACGATTCAACGATGTCCGCTTCTGCCCTCCATTTCTCGTTTGATAAAGATTGAGCTGCTAGGTATTATCTGATTGGCTCGCTGATTGATTCACGCAACGTTTTCTCTTTTGCCAATTATTTTTAGTGACTGTCGAAGGTAGAAAATTACCACAATTTACTCTATACACGCTCAATTGCGCCGTAACATTATTTTCATTGCATCGAAATGTTTAATTTATGGTATGGAGAAGCGAGCAATTTTTCATCGAATAATTGCTAATAATTGCCTTTGGAATAATGAAGGAACGCGGAGGACGAATGGCCGCTGTATCTATGTTTCCCTCCGATTTCCAATGATCGCCGAT